GAAATTGTTTTGGTAATTCAGTTATTGGCTAGCATAAAGGATTGGCCAATGATAGTCATGTGAGAAGCTTATGTAATGCATCTCTACCACCAGAGAAAGCATGTGTTAAGAAAACTAGTCGTCTGGAGAGGGACCGCTCGAAATGTCACCTTTTCCTATGGTCAAAGTAAAACTCTTTGCATGTCAAGTCATCTTTAGAAGTGACGAGATCCTAAAGTTTCCTACTTCGGTGACACAACTGTGTCAACTTAGTGAGTTTTTTGGAACTGCAGTGCATTAGAATACAAGTTATTGTAAATCAGGATGATATGACACAACTACATCCTTCAAGACTACTTGATCAGGTTTGTCCTGACCAACTAGCGCATGTATGCTTAAAACTGAGAATTATACTGAGCTTTTCTTGTGTAGGTGACTATATTCTTTTAACTTGCCCTTCAGTCTGCAAATGGGTCATTATAGGGTAGGATTTACAGCATGGTAGATTGAGTTATGTATTATCCTCTTTGGGTTAAGATAAGACTAGAGACAATGTCTCAAATGGTCTCTTCAAAGATTTATTAAGCCTGTAATTGATATGAAGACACAAGTATTGCTTTTAAATTGGAACACTAAATATTTACTACTGGTACAACTCAGACTATAAGCTTTAACTTGTCAAGCAAACTGTTTTAGGTTTTATAACTCAAATAAAGGAAAATCAGAATTGCTCTATCATGGGTTACTTAAAATTAAGTAGCCTTGTGTTCTAAATTCTATGCAGAAAACAGCCTTCCAAAAGCTGAATTGCTTATGGCTGTGGCTGGGTTAAACAATCTTTGGATTTATTTTTTTTATATGGAGATGTACCTATCTCATAGAACTGGAAGGGACCTTGAAAAGTAATAAAGTCCAGTCCCTTGCCTTCACTAGCAGGACCATTCCCCCCACCCCCCCATCTGTAAATGGCCCCCTCAGGATTGAACTCAAAACCCTGGGTTTAGCAGGCCAATACTCAAACCACTGAGCTATCCCTCCCTCCTATATGAATAGAGTAAAGAAGTTGGGCTAGATTAGCACAGCCAAAATTGTGGCAAAAAAGCAGCAGTCTGCTGCTTTGGTTTAATGCCAAGATTGTGGCTGTATTTAGTATCTGGGCAAATTGCAATACATTGTAAATGGCCATTACCTATGTCGGTGGCTTCCTAGCATTGCTAATTTCAAATCCTGCTGGGTTTTGCAATTTGCATATTTAAAAAAGTTCGGTTGGTTTGCTTGGGGACAATCATACCCTTTATTCAAACATTACCTCTAACATTCACATTTATTGGTCCAATTATTCCAGTTGAAAAATGCTGACTGACTCTTCTGCTTCTTTATCTACATACAGTATACTGTTTCAATAGGGCTATTGTAAGTAAATCCATGCTGAAATGAAGCAGCAAAGCTTCTGTACATAATTTTAACTCACTTTTTTTAACGTGAAGTTCCAGGGTTAAGAGTAGACTGGATTCTAGCGGAGCACGGTGTTATCTTGTGTTGTGACTTTCATGGGTGGGATGGATGTGTAATGGAGCTGCTTTTTTTTTTAATGGTACATGACCACCTTACATTCTAATTGAAACTAGATTCATTTGTTTCCCTCCTTCTCCCTTCCTTGTTACAGGATTTTAAAAAAAAATCATGTGGTGGTATGGTTCTTTTTAGACATGGTGTGGTTTTAAGGTAGTTTCCAGGCTAGGTGCAGAGATAACTAGTTTGTACTACCTTTAAATTAGGCTGTTTTAAAAAACAAACACAATTCATGTAAGAAAAATGTTTTAACCAAGTTTGGAAAGATTAGATTGGAATTGCCTCAAATTCAATTAAACCACACTGCATGGACGTGCTTGGAATATAAATACAATTACTGTAAATTTGTACAAACTGATTTGTTGCATTATCTTGCTAATCTAACATACGGTACTTTTTGTGTCCATATTGCAGACGGCAACTCCAAACTAACATGGCAGTCAGACTGTGTGATGTGGCTTCTCTGCTTAGAAGTGGTTCGTGGGCAGCAGAGCCTTGGACTGGGGTCTGTGGGATTTTTCTTAAATTCTGTAGGCTACTTTTTAACATGTTAAAATAGTGCTGAGGCCATACCAAACACTTAAATCTCTACTGTATATGCTTTCATGTTTAAACATAGTTTGTATCTCTATTTGGTCAGGGCCCAGAACAGTGTATTGATTTTTTTTTTTTTAAACATGGTGATCTGTAGAAATTTAAACCGCACTGATTTTCTTTCTATTTACAAATAGCCTTTTGTACTGATTTAAAATATCCAATGGATAACTGAAGAGTATAATTGTAATAAAACTGTTTTGGTATGGTCTGAATACTAAATTACAGTAATCTTTAAAACCTGTACACTGTATTTTTTTGGTTACTAATTTTTTTAAAGTTATTTACAATTGCTACTCTAAAAGTTGTTTTAAAATTGTAAATTACCTTTAAAACTATTTTTTCTGGCTGAAAAAATACTTACTCTGTAACTGCTCAAAGACTTGCTTGATATTCTGTGAACAGTTGTTGAACCTATCAATGGAATATGCGTTATTTGTAAAATATAACATATTAGTATCACTTGATTCAGAGCAGATGGTCCTATAGCTGAGAAATGTTGTAATTTCAGTGTACCCAGGCTACTGCAGCTGTTCACTTGAATGTTGGCTTAGGATCTCATTCTTGCCTCCTGAACATAAAAATAAAATGTGCAATTAAGTGAGGATTGTTTGTTGTCCTTGCTAATTTCGATCAATGAACACTTCAAAATTTAAACGCAGACCCAGTGAGTTTCGGTCAGAATGCAGCATTTGTGGCTTACCCGGCTCCGCCAGATATACTAACATTTGGATAGTAATTTTGTCTTAATTGGCCTCAGCTACTTTCTTGTCTTTTGACACAGGCTTGTTTTAATACAGTGCCAGGTCCAGGTTAACCCACAGGAGTTTGTCAGGAGGGAAGAAAATGTTGCTGCTTTAGTGGGAGCTCAGTTCAACAAAACTGGATCCATTTTTTTAAATGGGAAAGAAATGTTTAATATACTTAATTACTGCTTTCAGTTTTGTACCAAATGCCACCTCTTGGGCAAGACTGTATTTCTACAGGAGTTGTCCTAGTTATAACCTATTTTAAATAAACAAAACAAAAAACAAGTACCAGAACCCACAACTGTTTCACGGGGCTTTACAGCTCCTACTTTGAAGACACTTTTCTCACTTAAAGTCAAATTTCCAGGCTTTGAAAACAGTTGACTTCGTAAGAGAATTTGGCTACTTAAGCTGCAGATTTATTAAATAAGGCTTTTGTGTGAGATGTCCTCTTTGAAACCAGCATAAAGTTAGATTTGAGCACTAATTATCGTTCTGAGTGTTCTGTAATTTGTGCTTAGGGTTGTCATTTTAATGTTGGAACCTATATTTTCTTAGATAATAAACCTGACCAACATTTACGTTGTATTTAGAATTGGAAACTGTCCTGTGTAGCTAGTTCTGTAAATGGATAGAGTAGTTAACACTTGGATATAGTGGCTGCATTAAAAAGTTGTCTTGCCAATAGTTACCATGCAGTGAATATCTGATATCCCCCTTAGTTGGAATAGATCTCTGGTATCATCTAGGCAAGCGTTGACTCTTTTTTTTTAATGACCTCTTCTGCATCTGTGAGTTGTCCATACAGTTATTTGGGGTGAAATAAAAGTCTGTAGCATAATCACTCATTTATGAGTAAAATAAGTACAGTAAGTGCTAAACCATGTCTTTTGATTTTTTTGCGGGGGGGAGCTGAGAGGTACAGAGAAGGGGGATTGTAGGTATCAGCCTATTGGAATGCTGAGTGCTATTTAAAAGCTATTACTGACCCACAGAGGTGCAGAAGAAAATGGCCTTAGATCATCAAGAAAGAAGAGTTCCAGTTTCCATCCCAACATTTCCATTGTCTCTCTAAACATCTTTAAATCAGGGATTATGAATTGTTTTCTTCCAATGGTCATCAGAAGTAGTCTTAAAATATTGTTAAACTCGTTTTCAATACTGGAAAAGTAACCAAAAGAGTACATGCTGTTTGTTTTTTGTTTTTAAAGTGCATCCTATACTTTGTTGGTGCTCAGTTGTAAACTGTTAACGTTAGTGCTTAGTAACTGGTTAAAATGTGTTGATATAATACTTCCTGTACTTGGAAGGCTGATTGCTTCTATGTGTTGTAAAAATAAGTTATTCAGTGGTTAATTTTTTGGACAACGCTTTCTAGAAGCACCCTTAATAAATACCTTAGCACCAACCTTATTTGCCTTTAAATTTCTAAACATCTTACTACATCACAATTAAAAATTCCTTTTTGTAGAGGCATTATTGGAAGCCTGGAAATAACCTCTTGTGCATAGTGACAAGTCTTTAAATTCTTGGCTTCAATCTCTAATAGATTGTGAAATATGAATTCTGACAGTTCTTATTTTCTGTTTTAGCAGGTAATTGCTGCCATGGAAACACAACTGTCTAATGGACCAACTTGCAATAACACAGCCAATGGTCCAACCACCATAAACAACAACTGCTCATCGCCAGTTGACTCTGGGAACACAGAGGACAGCAAGACCAATTTAATAGTCAACTACCTTCCTCAAAACATGACACAAGAAGAGCTGAAGAGTCTGTTTGGAAGCATTGGGGAGATAGAGTCCTGCAAGCTTGTAAGAGACAAAATAACAGGTATGTTGGAACTGTAATTTTGCATATGCACATACAGGCAATATGCTCTTTAAACCAGCATTTTGCATAACATTCAGCTATTGTGAATTATGGGATTCAGATGGAAGAAGCAGATACGTATGTTGCTAGGCTGAAGATATTAGCTGTGCTACAGTCTCACTTACGAAGAATTTAAATGCTTTTTATTTGCGTTTCATCCAAGTTGGTAGATGAGCAATATAAATGCTAACGGGGCCTTTGAATGCTTTCTGAGCTAGACATTAAAGGCTTTTGGAAAGGATATTGAGATGTGAAAAGAATAGATAACTGTACATCATTGACTTGTGGGGTATTTTTGATTAACTCAGTTGGAACTTTGGTTTGCACTAAGCCCGGCAGATGGAACAGCACAACTTAATTCTCCTCTCTTTCCCCCCCCCCCCATGAGATAAATTAAATAAATCTGAAGCTTCCCATTTTTCAGTGGGGAAAAGGGTGGATGGAATCCTTGTTCAGTCATACTCGCTACAGTCTCTTGGGTGGAAAATAAAACTTCGCACGGCAATATTTTAAATGCAGTTTCCGTGATACATGCTATCTGTCCTGTCTGAGAGATGTTGCAAATAATGTGAACTGAAGACTGAATGGAGCATTTCTTTCATTTAACTTTTTGTTTAGCATAGGTTGAATAGTTCTGTTGCACAGGTCACACATGTCTCCAGGATGAAGACATTACAAGCCATACCCCTGGTTATTAACTTTGAGTATTTTTAAGTCAGTGGTTTTCAAAGCTTTTGTATAGGTGACCCCTTTAACACAGCAAGCCTCTGAGTGTGCCCCCCTTATAAATTACCCCCCCCATTTTTAATTTAATGTAATGGGGACTCAGGACTGTCAGCTCCATGGAGCTGAGAACTCATGACCCCATGTAACACTGGTCTACAATTTTTGAGAAGTCGTTTGCTTCAGAGATAAAATGTATTTTGATGTGCTGAATTCAAATATGACCATTGAAACAACTGACTGGCTACTGTTTCTAAGATATTTAAGTTTTTATATTTTATGTCTATGTATATTGTGTAGATA